AGGATGACAAGTCTCACCAGGATCTACGGCTTCTGCTGCTCATCGTAGCTCTTTGTATGAACACTGACACACTGAACTGCTGCTGACAGAAAGACAACACACTGAACTGCTGCTGACAGAAAGACAACACACTGAACTGCTGCTGACAGAAAGACAACACACTGAACTGCTGCTGACAGAAAGACAACACACTGAACTGCTGCTGACAGAAAGACAACACACTGAACTGCTGCTGACAGAAAGACAACACACTGAACTGCTGCTGACAGAAAGACAACACACTGAACTGCTGCTGACAGAAAGACAACAGAAAGACAACACACTGAACTGCTGCTGACAGAAAGACAACAGAAAGACAACACACTGAACTGCTGCTGACAGAAAGACAACAGAAAGACAACACACTGAACTGCTGCTGACAGAAAGACAACACACTCCTGTTGGGCTTCACTCATGATCCTTAACTGTAAGCTTCAACAGTTTTGTTTAGTTAGAGGCTCGGAGGTTATCATGGTTAATGATAAATTCAAAACTAAAATGTAAAGGACATTTTCTACAAACAAGGCTTTACTAAAAAACAATAACTAAGTGAAACTGTATTGTGATTACAAATCAAAGTAAAATCAAATAAAATGAGAGAGAAAATGTCTTTTGAGTGATGAGAGAATGTCATCTTTCACACAAACCCACTGAGTGACACTCATTCATCATCTCAGACATCAGAAACACACGACACACACTAATGCCACTGGTTTCATGTTCACATTCATTTCTGTTAAAGTAAAGGTTCATACTACAGAGGAGCTGCTCCGTGGTAACCATGGACACCGACAGAGGAGCCGCTCCGTGGTAACCATGGACACCGACAGAGGAGCTGTTCCGTGGTAACCATGGACACCGACAGAGGAGCTGCTCCGTGGTAACCATGGACACCGACAGAGGAGCCGCTCCGTGGTAACCATGGACACCGACAGAGGAGCCGCTCCGTGGTAACCATGGACACCGACAGAGGAGCCGCTCCGTGGTAACCATGGACACCGACAGAGGAGCCGCTCCGTGGTAACCATGGACACCGACAGAGGAGCAGCTCCGTGGTAACCATGGACACCGACAGAGGAGCCGCTCCGTGGTAACCATGGACACCGACAGAGGAGCCGCTCCGTGGTAACCATGGACACCGACAGAGGAGCCGCTCCGTGGTAACCATGGACAACGACAGAGGAGCCGTTCCGTGGTAACCATGGACACCGACAGAGGAGCCGCTCCGTGGTAACCATGGACACCGACAGAGGAGCCGCTCCGTGGTAACCATGGACACCGACAGAGGAGCAGCTCCGTGGTAACCATGGACACCGACAGAGGAGCCGCTCCGTGGTAACCATGGACACCGACAGAGGAGCCGCTCCGTGGTAACCATGGACACCGACAGAGGAGCCGCTCCGTGGTAACCATGGACAACGACAGAGGAGCCGTTCCGTGGTAACCATGGACACCGACAGAGGAGCTGCTCCGTGGTAACCATGGACACCGACAGAGGAGCTGTTCCGTGGTAACCATGGACACCGACAGAGGAGCTGTTCCGTGGTAACCATGGACACCGACAGAGGAGCTGCTCCGTGGTAACCATGGACACCGACAGAGGAGCTGCTCCGTGGTAACCATGGACACCGACAGAGGAGCTGCTCCGTGGTAACCATGGACACCGACAGAGGAGCTGTTCCGTGGTAACCATGGACACCGACAGAGGAGCTGTTCCGTGGTAACCATGGACACCGACAGAGGAGCCGCTCCGTGGTAACCATGGACACCGACAGAGGAGCCGCTCCGTGGTAACCATGGACACCGACAGAGGAGCTGTTCCGTGGTAACCATGGACACCGACAGAGGAGCCGCTCCGTGGTAACCATGGACACCGACAGAGGAGCCGCTCCGTGGTAACCATGGACACCGACAGAGGAGCCGCTCCGTGGTAACCATGGACACCGACAGAGGAGCCGCTCCGTGGTAACCATGGACACCGACAGAGGAGCCGCTCCGTGGTAACCATGGACACCGACAGAGGAGCTGCTCCATGTAACCATGGACACCGACAGAGGAGCTGCTCCATGGTAACCATGGACACCGACAGGATGTTTAAGTTGCTTAGCAACAGTCTAGTTTCAGTTAAATTGTCAAACTAGTTGAGTTGTTGGAGTTAATAAATAATCTGTAGTTGATTTTTATCACTATTTCCTGCTTGTTAATCTGTTGTATTAAAGTAATATCACTCTGCTGTGATTATCTTCAGAGCCAATCACAGCAGAGCTGATATCCAGGACACCTCCACCTGTGTGACAGAACTTCATTATTTAATGACTGTACACTTTATAAAAGTGAGTGAAGCTGGTTCTGATTCAGTACCGGTTTATGAAGGACTAATGATCATTAAATCATTCTTCTTTTTCTTCAGTTAAACTTTAAAACCGTTAAAGAGCCTCTGGTTAGCTTTAGCAGCAGCTAGCCGTTAGCGGAGGATGAACGGAGCCGTTAGGAGACAAAACTAAAGCAAACAGAGATCAAACCGGGACTCTAACCGGTTCAAAGTAACGGAACCGGTGACACAAAGTCCGTCATTACATTACCAGTGATGTAGCCGCTCGCTGGTCGTGTTTAACGGCAGAAATCGGTGAACTTACCGGCGGCGGTTGGCGGAGGAGGCGGAGAAAGCGCTCGAGACGTTTAGGTCAGCGCTGACTCTGATTGGACAGACCCAGCAGTGACGTCATGCATGCATTTAATAATACCTAGAGGAATAAACCTCACTACGTAAATAAAGTTTTATTTACTCCAGGTTGGTGTCCCTGAAGTGACTCATTAAAGAATAAACACACGTTTTATCTTTCATCTTTTAAATCACTTCTTAAAACTCCTTTTTATAAACTTGCTTTTATGTGATTTCTCCTTTAAAGATCTATTGCTTCCTTTTATTAATTTTATTGCGCTTAACCTTTTTATCTTTCTCTTTTAGCCTTTAGCCTCTGTTTTAGCCTTTAAATGTATCCCTTCCTGTATTCATTTTACTGCTCTTAGTCTTTTTTAAATTCCTCCTCCTTTTATCTTTTAACTCTTCAGCTCTCTGTTTCTTTATTCATTTAACCGATCTCCTGTTTATCTCTTCTTTGTATCTTCATTCTGTGTTTACAGCCTGTGATGTGATGTCATCCCACTCTCCCTCTATTTTAAGTTTGTTCTCTCCTGGTTGATTTTAAACTCATTTTCCTTCACTGTACTGAACTGCCTCTCCACACCTGCCTGTTGACTCCATATTATTCCTGTTATTTGCATTTTTACAATGTCTGTTGATCTCTGTTCTGTTGTGTTTTTGCTGTCTGTCACAGCACTTTGAAAACATTTGTTTTTAAGGGTTAGGGTTAGGGTAAGGTGCTATATAAAAAATAAAGATATTAAGTTCAACAACAACAAACTATGAGATCATCATGAGGACAATCACTGATAAACTATGAAGCATTATTGTGAATTTAACACATGATTTCTAATATAAAAAGTGGCATCATGTACATTTGGAGAGCTTTGTTAAATGCTCTAAAATCAGTGTCATTACTATATTGAAGACAAACCTGCTCAGTGACTGATATCATTGTTCTAGCCCTTCTAAATGATGGTCAATTAAAGCTAAATGAGCTAAGCTAACTGTACTCTCAGTGACACGGTTAGCTAGCTGAACAGGTGAACTTACAGAGTCAGAACACAGACACACTCATAAAGCTAAATTAGCATTAATTTAGCAATGGCGCGCTGGAGTCCCATCAATGGCGGTCTCCATGCTGGAAATGCTGTCTCAGTCTAACTTTCAGTCAACCTAACGACAGGCTGAGAGCTGGAGCTGAGGCGGGTTTTAAACCTCCTGACAAACCGTTACACCGCGCCCACCTGTCAATCAAGTCAGCTACACGCCTTATTGTGAATAACTCTTATCCTTCATCAAATCAAAACTGATGAGTCATCAAAACATTCACCCCCCGTACAGTGTGTGTCCATCCAGACATGAGCTAATCACACCTATTTGGTTTTTTGAACCAGGCTGTAAACATGTTCATCTCTGCTGTAAAAACAGGCTTTTTAGAATGGGTGTGTATGTGACTTCCTGTGCTTCTGCAGCCAGCCTCTAGTGGACACTCCAGGAACTGCAGGATTTTACACTTCAGCATCGGAAGTTGCTTCTTTGGGCCACAAGGAGCTTAAAGGTTTTATATGTGATTTTTTGATCCAGCAGATGTCGCCCTTGAGCACCAGCATGAAACCAAAACAACTGGCGCTGCATTGTTGTGTTAGCATGCTAATGCTAGCGATCTTTATTATGCTGGTATCTTCACACTGCATGTAAATTGACCTGAAATGAGCGTGATCTAGAAACACAGTTAAGCAGTGAGTACAGTATGTTATTCTTCTTTTCTCTAGTCCCTCAATTAAACAACTTTTATACACGAGGGGAGGAGTCAGCCGGCCGTCCCGGCGATGTAAACAAACTGAAGATAGGACTCTGAAAACTCTGAAAACATCACAGACAGTGGGACTCGGGTGTTACACCCATTGTAGACAGTCATGACTGTTATTTTTCAGATAATATATTATCTGAAACATAACAGTATATATATATATATATATATAGATATATATATATATATCTATATATAGTATATCCATATTTTCAGAGGATATACTTGATTTCTATTATATTTAAGTGTGAAAAATCGCATATAAAGCCTTTAAATATGAATATTCACCAAGCCAGAAGAAGAGAAAACAGAGAAACAGTTAACAGTTGGTTAACCACTTCATACGATCGTTTGAATGTAACACGAAGTTTAAACAATATAACGGCGCCGAGAGGTAGCGATATTGTGTTTTCGAACTCAATTTCCCATAATCCTTTGCGCGATGACGGCGTGAACTCCCGCCCGTTGTGAAAACTTCCCTTGATGCTTCACTGCAGGGCCGAGAAGAAGGACAAGAGGCGTCACGATGGAGTCTGCTGGTGGCTAACGTGACAAACCTTCTGAATATAAGTTGAATAAAGTTTGAGACGTTCATGACTCTTCAGGGAAAAGATTAACGGAAGACTCTAGCCCGTTAATGACAGCTAGATAGCTAACTCTGCAGCGGAGATTGTAGGTGAGTCTTTTAGCCGCAGCGCGTTGTTGTAGCAACGACTGTCAGCACCGGGCCGCCATTAAATCTACCAAACACGACGAAACTGTCCTAAAACAACACAGCCTGTGCGAACTGTGCCGCGCTGTCGTTTTTAAAATAACACTTTAAATGTAATCTTAGTCCAGTGACCTCAGAGAGCAGCAGCACGATGTTTACAGTCTGATGTTTCTGATCACAGTTAGCACGAAGCTAACGGTGTTAGCAGCAGCATCTCAGGGCAGAAACGTGTGAGGACTATAGATGATAATAAACACTGAACTATAGATGATAAACACTGAACTATAGATGATAAACACTGAACTATAGATGATAATAAACACTGAACTATAGATGATAATAAACACTGAACTATAGATGATAAACACTGAACTATAGATGATAAACACTGAACTATAGATAATAAACACTGAACTATAGATGATAAACACTGAACTATAGATGATAAACACTGAACTATAGATGATAAACACTGAACTATAGATAATAAACACTGAACTATAGATGATAAACACTGAACTATAGATGATAAACACTGAACTATAGATGATAAACACTGAACTATAGATGATAATAAACACTGAACTATAGATGATAAACACTGAACTATAGATGATAAACACTGAACTATAGATGATAATAAACACTGAACTATAGATGATAATAAACACTGAACTATAGATGATATAGATGATAAACACTGAACTATAGATGATAAACACTGAACTATAGATGATAAACACTGAACTATAGATGATAAACACTGAACTATAGATGATAATAAACACTGAACTATAGATGATAATAAACACTGAACTATAGATGATAATAAACACTGAACTATAGATGATAAACACTGAACTATAGATGATAAACACTGAACTATAGATAATAAACACTGAACTATAGATGATAATAAACACTGAACTATAGATGATAAACACTGAACTATAGATGATAAACACTGAACTATAGATGATAATAAACACTGAACTATAGATGATAATAAACACTGAACTATAGATGATAATAAACACTGAACTATAAACACTGAACTATAGATGATAATAAACACTGAACTATAGATGATAATAAACACTGAACTATAAACACTGAACTATAGATGATAATAAACACTGAACTATAAACACTGAACTATAGATGATAATAAACACTGAACTATAAACACTGAACTATAGATGATAATAAACACTGAACTATAAACACTGAACTATAGATGATAATAAGCACTGAACTATAGATGATAATAAACACTGAACTATAGATGATAATAAACACTGAACTATAGATGATAAACACTGAACTATAGATGATAATAAACACTGAACTATAGATGATAATAAACACTGAACTATAGATGATAAACACTGAACTATAGATGATAAACACTGAACTATAGATAATAAACACTGAACTATAGATGATAATAAACACTGAACTATAGATGATAAACACTGAACTATAGATGATAAACACTGAACTATAGATGATAATAAACACTGAACTATAGATGATAATAAACACTGAACTATAGATGATAATAAACACTGAACTATAAACACTGAACTATAGATGATAATAAACACTGAACTATAGATGATAATAAACACTGAACTATAAACACTGAACTATAGATGATAATAAACACTGAACTATAGATGATAATAAACACTGAACTATAGATGATAATAAACACTGAACTATAGATGATAATAAACACTGAACTATAGATGATAATAAACACTGAACTATAAACACTGAACTATAGATGATAATAAACACTGAACTATAAACACTGAACTATAGATGATAATAAACACTGAACTATAAACACTGAACTATAGATGATAATAAGCACTGAACTATAGATGATAATAAACACTGAACTATAGATGATAATAAACACTGAACTATAGATGATAAACACTGAACTATAGATGATAATAAACACTGAACTATAGATGATAATAAACACTGAACTATAGATGATAAACACTGAACTATAGATGATAAACACTGAACTATAGATAATAAACACTGAACTATAGATGATAATAAACACTGAACTATAGATGATAAACACTGAACTATAGATGATAAACACTGAACTATAGATGATAATAAACACTAAACTATAGATGATAATAAACACTGAACTATAGATGATAATAAACACTAAACTATAGATGATAATAAACACTGAACTATAGATGATAAACACTGAACTATAGATGATAATAAACACTAAACTATAGATGATAATAAACACTGAACTATAGATGATATAGATGATAAACACTGAACTATAGATGATAATAAACACTGAACTATAAACACTGAACTATAAACACTGAACTATAGATGATAATAAACACTGAACTATAGATGATAAACACTGAACTATAGATGATAATAAACACTGAACTATAGATGATAAACACTGAACTATAGATGATAATAAACACTGAACTATAGATGATATAGATGATAAACACTGAACTATAGATGATAAACACTGAACTATAGATGATAATAAACACTGAACTATAGATGATAAACACTGAACTATAGATGATAATAAACACTGAACTATAGATGATAAACACTGAACTATAGATGATAATAAACACTGAACTATAAACACTGAACTATAGATGATAAACACTGAACTATAGATGATAAACACTGAACTATAGATGATATAGATGATAAACACTGAACTATAGATGATAAACACTGAACTATAGATGATAAACACTGAACTATAGATGATATAGATAATAAACACTGAACTATAGATGATATAGATAATAAACACTGAACTATAGATGATAAACACTGAACTATAGATGATAATAAACACTGAACTATAAACACTGAACTATAGATGATAAACACTGAACTATAGATGATATAGATGATAAACACTGAACTATAGATGATAAACACTGAACTATAGATGATAAACACTGAACTATAAACACTGAACTATAGATGATAAACACTGAACTATAAACACTGAACTATAGATGATAAACACTGAACTATAGATGATAAACACTGAACTATAAACACTGAACTATAGATGATAAACACTGAACTATAGATGATAAACACTGAACTATAAACACTGAACTATAGATGATAAACACTGAACTATAGATGATAAACACTGAACTATGAACACTGAACTATAGATGATAAACACTGTTGACTCCTCGAGAATCACACACAGACTATGCTCGTCGGGTGTTTTGACCCCTGTGGCGGTGTGTTTGTGTGTGTAGTTGAGCTCACGGTGGATTAGCATTACCTGTGTTTGTGTAGCAGCAGAGACCCCTCGTGTTGCAGTAAAATGTGAAACTCTTGTTTTTAAAAACGATTTAATGTCTCATTTTAATGCCGTATCAGAAGGTTTCTTTTATTATTATGTAGGGAAATATTAACAGCAGTCACAGGTAACAGGCCTGAGTGAGTTCAAACTGGTTTACATCAGGTTCCTGTTAAGAACATAACAACAAGATCCCATCAGCCAACAGAAACAAAGAGGAAAAGGAAAGAACTACACTACCCACAATCATAGAGTGTCACAGCGACTTCTGTGATTGGTGGAGCTTCCTGTTACCACGGAAACGTTTCACGCCCCTCTGCGCTGAACTGGATAGTTTCGCTTGCTAGTTAGTCAGCTAACACGATGTACTAACAACACAAACTACAACATAGTACAACACTTGTATTTACAGTATAAACACGATAACGACTAAAGTTACATTTTAGAAGAAGAGGGATCATTCGCAATGCATTGTGGGATGGGTAGTTCCTTTCCTCTGGTTTCATAAAACATGCACAGTCTTCTACTTTTGCCCTTCTCTCTGTTTTTGTAACGCAGTTTTTGGAACAAATGCTTCATAGTCAAGAGGAATGAGAGTAGCTGGTTGTCATGGTAACAGTCTTCAATCTCTTGATATGAAGATTTTGTAAAATGTGAACGGAGGATTTGAACAGAAGAAATTTACTTCTGGAGCCAGAGCTGCTGAAAAAGTGGGCGGTCACTTGAGTTCGTCGCCTTTTTGAAATGTATAACCGACGTTGTTGTCCTGATAAACTGTCGACTCTCACTCCAGAGTTTGGTGCGTGTGTGAAAGTATGATCTCTGACCAGAGCGGTTTCTGTAAGTCTGTGTTCTTCTGTGTTGTGCCCAGAATTGCAGTAAACTCTGAGGACAACACAGAACGTGGCAGATACATTTTCTATGCGGCCGTATTTTTGCATCCACCCTCAAAGATCCTCTACAGACACACAAGAGACAAACACAAGCCCAGACCGTTTCCATCGCAGCTTGTTCTTTGTGGTCAGTTTAGTGTGCACCAGTCTTCTACCCAGTCTATAGAACAACGTTTATCAAGTAAAAACATTCAAGTAAAAGTCATTACAGCGAGGAAGTGCAGTGACGAGTCGAAGAGGGAAAAGGAATCAGTCTACCTGTCAAGCTTCCATGAAGGGCCTGACTGATACTGATATATCGGCTCATATCGTTCTTAGATCTGTGTTCCATATGCAGAGATGGATATAGATATATATTTATTGTGTTGATCTCTCAGTCATCAAACACTTGAGGAAAAGATTTATAATGAAGACGAGATGGTCACTCAGCTGGAAAGAAACTGAGCATGTACGTACATCACCGCTCCACACTCTGCAGAGTGATGGTGCTTGTTGTAGTCCAGATAGTGCCCCCTGCTGGTGACAGAACTGCTAGTTCTGGAGGTCGATATTATCGGCTGGCTAATCAATCGGTTGGGCGCCAGTTAAATGGTGTCCTTCGTGGTCAAAGACCTAATTGGAGACAGAAGGATTGTGTTTGATACAAACTGAAGCATTAAAAAACGTCTCCTTCATTTGACTGGTCTGTGTGAGAGGAATGAATTCATCTAAAGGTGTGAGCAAACTGCTGCATCAAAACATCTGGATGTGCAGTTTAGTCATTTTTTCGGCCATCTTAGTCAATTAGAAACCATAAATGACTCGATACTGGCGTCCAAGATGTTTTAATCTGCGTTGCCGTGGTATCAAACGAGCATCGATAGTTTTTGTTTACTCACTGATCAAAGTTTAAAATTCTGCAATGACTCTAATTTGAACACTTTTTATAACGGACCCTGACAAAGTCTAAATCATTATCCCCGTCAATAACATGTGAAATGCCATGACTCTATGTTTGAGTTTGTCTGCTGCTTCTGCTGTTTGTGTACTTCCCTCTCTTCTTATTTGCACACACTTTTTGTCTGTTATCTTCTTAACCTCTTTCATTTTCTGTCTTGGGGACGACAAAATGCCAAAGGGGGTGGTGCGTCATCAATTTCTAAATATCACTGTGTGTGTGTGTGTGTGTGTGTGTGTGTGTGTGTGTGTGTGTGTGTGTGTGTGTGTGTGTGTGGTGTGTGTGTGTGTGTGTGTGTGTGTGTGTGTGTGTGTGTGTGTGTGTGTGTGTGTGTGTGTGTGTGTGTGTGTGTGTGTGTGTGTGTGTGTGTGTGTGTGTGTGTGTGACCTCGTGTTAAAGGTCACATGACCTGCGATGGTTTGAAGAGGTACAGTTACTCATGAAGAGCACGTTCTGATGTGTGGACTCCACGGTGCGTCCCTACTTTTCTTTATAGTCTCTCTCTGTGTGGTAAAGTGAGCACGCTTCATGATCACGTGATGACCGTTTGTTAGTCCTGGAGCAGTGTGAGGGCAGGCCAGTGGGGGAATGGGGAGGGTTCAATGCTGCAGCACGGTACGGGACAAGTCCGCCGTGGGTGATGGCGCCCTACGGCACAGTTGAGTGCACCTGATCTGTTTGGTCTGTTCTGGCGATCTTTGTCGGATGTCTGTTAGTTTTGGGGAAGGTGTGAATGTCTCGGTTTGCTTCAAAGTGCCCCAGACGCTGGTTCGCCCTAGGCGAAAATGCGGTCCGGACTAGTGGTTGGCGATATAACGATCTTAGATCGTGAAGGATTTTAACTTGCTGACGATCTGCCAAAGCAGAGAGATCGTAGAACCGGGCTAATGTGTTTATTCTATCATGCTGCAGTTTATGCTCCCACACAGACGCGTCTCCCCCTCCCCCTCTGCTCCGCCGAGGTGAAAAGGAAACTTAAGAATTAGTCCGCAAAAACAACTCCATCCCGGTTATATGTAACTGTTCTGATATTTTTCCAAACCGTCATGCTGTGAGCAACAGTTAACTTATCTGCATAGTGTGCACAGTTAAGTTTACATCTCAGAGAGCGACACGGAGAGACGTTAACAGTCTGCAGAGAGTCAGACAGAGAGGAGCTCAGACAGACAGTGAGGGGAGATATAACCCCGGTGTTTCAAATGTTGCTGTCGGTGTTTTCTGCTCTCTCTCAGTTTTTAAAAGTTACTTATCAAGCTTCTCCACCTGAAGCTCACCTGTTGTGATAACTGAACCTATAGGGATTACACTAAACGACGTTACAAAGCAGCAGGCAGGTGAGAGTGAGTAACCATGGTGACTGTCTGTCTGTCAATCAACAATGTCCCGCCCCCTCTATGAATTCAACTCTTCTGTCAGTAAAACTTACTTTGATCATGTGTCACAGAATGAACACATTCTGTATTATGTTTGATTATATATAAACTAAACTAAAGTTAGTCCAATGATGTCATAAAAACAACAAAGTCTGCAGAGCCTGTATGAAGCTCCAGCTGGAGGAACTCTGCAGGGCTAAAACAGAACAGAAACACAAGAACTCAAAGTCTACATGTTTTTAAATGAATGCATCACTGTGTGAAAATGTTCCTGATGAACATAAAAAGAGGACACATAACTAAATCATCATTTCAAAGAGGTGAGGAAAACCTTCAAATTGTTCATAAATATTGATCAAATTGAGGGAAAGACATTTCTGTTGTTAAAGATGTTCTGGGTGAGAGACCTCCAGACCTCCTACAAAGATGTTTTTCAAATAGATTAAACTTGTCTGCTCAGTTTTTGTGCTTTTAAAAACATTAAACAGGTAAATAAGTTTGGTTGAACTGGTCAGTAACTTACAAATCTGTCTAAAGATCAGTATGAAAAAAATCGTGATATGATATATTTTTCCCATATCGCCCACCTCTGGTCCGGACCAAATGGAGGTGAACAACAGCAGTGCATTGTGGGTTACATTTGGATGTCAGTAATATGTCAAATAGGTTTGCAGAGTGTGGCTAACGTTAGCATTGCTAACAACATGCCTGTGCTAAATGTGATTTCACATCGCTGCAGTCGATCTGACAAACTGCACCGTGATACAGGACACCATTCTTCCACTGACCTGTTGGTTACTCTGGGCTCATAGTGCAGCATTAGGCCAGATGGCAGCAGCCACAGCGCCAACTAGTGGCTGGAGGCTTTGGTACACAATATGTGACCGTTTTGGTGCGTAGGGTTAAAAATTATGCAACTTGAGCACTGAGTCGCACTGACCTGAAAGAGAGCAGAGGAGGAGAGTGTGCTGCTCACAGTCTTTAATGAACAACAATAAATGAGACGACATCAGGTGTCTAGGACTTCTGTGTTTGTTGTCTATCGACAGATATCAATATCGTTTGTTCTTTTCTGATGTTGAAGTTTGAAGTGTCTTTGTCATCTCGTGGTGATTGTTTGGACCGTCTTCTTTTCCCATCCTGCAGGTATAGCCGTCACCATGGCGACGGACATCAGCTCGCCGCAGCGGTTTTTCCACATGCCGCGGTTCCAGCACCAGGCACCGCGGCAGGTGTTCTACAAGCGGCCGGACTTCGCCCAGCAGCAGGCCATGCAGCAGCTCACCTTCGACGGGAAGCGCATGAGGAAGGCCGTGAACCGCAAAACCATCGACTACAACCCGTCAGTCATCAGACACCTGGAGGTAAACACACCTGAATGCCATAACCACACCGTGGAACAGCTTCTCTTACTGGGACCAGTTCAGCAGCTTCAGCTGGTTTGAACATGTGAAGCTCCTCTTACTGGGACCAGTTCAGCATCTTCAGCTGGTTTGAACATGTGAAGCTCCTCTTACTGGGACCAGTTCAGCAGCTTCAGCTGGTTTGAACATGTGAAGCTCCTCTTACTGGGACCAGTTCAGCATCTTCAGCTGGTTTGAACATGTGAAGCTCCTCTTATTGGGACCAGTTCAGCATCTTCAGCTGGTTTGAACATGTGAAGCTCCTCTTACTGGGACCAGTTCAGCATCTTCAGCTGGTTTGAACATGTGAAGCTCCTCTTACTGGGACCAGTTCAGCAGCTTCAGCTGGTTTTATCTGACGTGTCTGTCTTTGTGGTTTCAGAATCGTCTGTGGCAGCGAGACCACCGAGACTTCAGAGCTGTGCAGCCCGACGCAGGTTGTTACAACGAGGTGAGTCCGAGCATCAAACCCACTCTGCAGCTCGTTCAGCTGAGCCGCACTGTTTGTTACCCGGGTAACCCAGCACGCCTCGCTCCTCCTCGCTCTGTACTGTGAATATGTGACATGTAAAAGTCAGGAAATGAAAAGGTTTATAAAGTGTTTGAGGTCAAACGTGTGTGTGTGTGTGTGTGTGTGTGTGTGTGTGTGTGTGTGTGTGTGTGTGTGTGTGTGTGTGTGTGTGTGTGTGTGTGTGTGTGTGTGTGTGTGTGTGTTGTGTGTTGGTGTGTGTGTGTGTGTGTGTGTGTGTGTGTGTGTGTGTGTGTGTGTGTGTGTGTGTTCCTCAGCTGGTTCCTCCTGTGGGCATGCTGAACAACCCGATGAACGCCGTCACCACAAAGTTTGTCCGGACCTCCACCAACAAAGTCAAGTGTCCCGTGTTTGTGATCCGGGTGAGCTGCTGCATCACTTCCTGTTTACACACGCTCTGGTGTCAGAATAACATGTAGAGATCCACTCACACTGAGCAGGGCTTTTATTTTGAAACTCTCTGGAGGTTTTCTTTTGAAAGGTAAAGCTGATATAGACATCAGGTCTTTGTGTAAACTGAGGAGGAGTTACTGATCTCCTCAGGTGACTTTCACCTGTTAAAGCGACTCACAGAGACCAATGAAAGACAGGCCAATAAAATAACCCACTACCTCTTCCTCCTCCTCCCTCTCCTCTTCCTCCTCCTCCTCTTCCCTCTCCTCTTCCTCCTCCTCCCTTTCCTCTTCCTCCTCCTCCTCCTCTTCTTCCTCCTCCTCCCTTTCCTCTTCCTCCTCCTCCTCTTGCTCCTCCTCTTCCCCCTCCTCCTCTTCCCCCTCCTCTTCCTCCTCCTCCCTTTCCTCTTCCTCCTCCTCTTGCTCCTCCTCTTTCCCCTCCTCCTCCTCCTCACTATACCACAGAGTTCCTTATATTTATGTGTTTCTCCTGTGTGTGTGTGCAGTGGACTCCTGAAGGTCGGCGTCTGGTCACCGGGGCCTCCAGTGGAGAGTTCACTCTGTGGAACGGCCTCACCTTTAACTTTGAGACCATCCTTCAGGTAAACACTCACCTGTACGTCTGTTCACCGTTACCTTAAGGTGCGATCATCGTATCCACTGTTGATGATGCGTTTCCTTCTTTACGTCCGAAAACACTGAAGAGCGCTCAAATAATCTAATTTATTTATTATTCACAGTGACCTCACAATGACCTCACAATGACATCACGGTGACCTCACAATGACCTCACAATGATCTCACGGTGACCTCACAATGACATCACATTGACCTCACATTGACCTCACAATGACCTCACAATGACATCACATTGACCTCACAATGACCTCACATTGACCTCACAATGACCTCATGGTGACCTCACAATGACATGGTGTGTGTGTGTAATACTGCAGCAGAACTCAGATTATTGAGTCTCTAAACTCGTATATAAATAAATAAAAACATTTGGACTAAAGTTTGTCAAACTTTATCCGTTATTTTAATGTTTGAAGGAATCACAAAGAACTTTAAAATGAACTTCACGTTTCGGCCGGCACGCTCACTAAACTGCAGAATGCAATGCTAATGTTTGGAGACAATTCACGAATATATGCGTAGAGATGTTGACCTGTAGTTAGCATCCTGTTAGCCTCTTGTTAGCATCCTGTTAGCCTCTTGTTAGCCTCCTGTCAGCCTCCTGTTAGCATCCTGTCAGTATCCTGTCAGCCTCCTGTTAGCCTCTTGTTAGCATCCTGTTAGCCTCCTGTTAGCATCCTGTCAGCATCCTGTTTGTCTCCTGTTAGCCTCCTGTTAGCATCCTGTTAACCTCCTGTCAGCCTCTTGTTAGCATCTGGTTAGCTTCCTGTTAGCATCCTGTTAGCCTCTTGTTGGCATCTTGTCAGCCTCCTGTTAGCATCCTGTCAGCATCCTGTTTGTCTCCTGTTAGCCTCCTGTTAGCATCCTGTCAGCATCCTGTTTGTCTCCTGTTAGCCTCCTGTTAGCATCCTGTCAGCATCCTGTTTGTCTCCTGTTAGCCTCCTGTTAGCATCCTGTCAGCATCCTGTTTGTCTCCTGTCAGCATCCTGTTTGTCTCCTGTTAGCCTCCTGTTAGCATCCTGTTAACCTCCTGTCAGCCTCTTGTTAGCATCTGGTTAGCTTCCTGTTAGCATCCTGTCAGCATCCTGTTTGTCTCCTGTTAGCCTCCTGTTAGCATCCTGTCAGCATCCTGTTTGTCTCCTGTCAGCATCCTGTTTGTCTCCTGTTAGCCTCCTGTTAGCATCCTGTCAGCATCCTGTTTGTCTCCTGTTAGCCTCCTGTTAGCATCCTGTCAGCATCCTGTTTGTCTCCTGTCAGCATCCTGTTTGTCTCCTGTTAGCCTCCTGTTAGCATCCTGTTAACCTCCTGTCAGCCTCTTGTTAGCATCTGGTTAGCTTCCTGTTAGCATCCTGTTAGCCTCTTGTTGGCATCTTGTCAGCCTCTTGTCAGCATCCTGTTAGCGTCCTGTTAGCATCTTGTCAGCATCCTGTTAGCATCTTGTCAGCATCCTGTTAGCATCTTGTTAGCATCTTGTTAGCATCTTGTTAGCATCCTGTCAGCATCCTGTTAACCTGCAGTGTTGGTTCTGATCCGCTTCATCAAAGTCTCTGAACTCTGATATCATTTATTCTTTCTTACCTTCATATTTCCAGCAGCCGTACTGACCTCCTGACCTCTTCTCTCTCTCCCCCCCCCCCCCCGCAGGCCCACGACAGTCCGGTTCGGGCCATGACCTGGTCTCACAACGACATGTGGATGCTGACGGCGGACCACGGCGGCTACGTGAAGTACTGGCAGTCCAACATGAACAACGTCAAGATGTTCCAGGCTCACAAGGAGGCCATTAGAGAAGCCAGGTTTATACCCAATCTACCATTTTCTGTAGTAAAGCCCAGCCTGTGCTGCTCCCTCACAGCCAGGCGGGGGCGCCACGTGTTCACGCTGTTGTTGTGGTTGATTCATGACAGATGTAAGTGTGTGCTGTTGCAACACTGCAGTGATCTGTTGTTGATGTTCATGTGGCTGATGAGCTGTTTCTCTCTGTGTGTAAATAAAGTTATCGATCGATATCTCTCGCTGCTTTGGGTGGAGATGAGTCGGAGGGATCAATAAAGACCCAATAAAGCTCCAGCAGGGATCAATAAAGACCCAATAAAGCTCCAGCAGGGATCAATAAAGACCCAATAAAGCTCCAGCAGGGATCAATAAAGACCCAATAAAGCTCCAGCAGGGATCAATAAAGACCCAATAAAGCTCCAGCAGGGATCAATAAAGACCCAATAAAGCTCCAGCAGGGATCAATAAAGACCCAATAAAGCTCCAGCAGGGATCAATAAAGTTTGAAGCTCCCGCACACAGTCACACTGCTGCTCTCAACCTCACCCAGCACGCCGCTGTTCAACATGAGCACCTTAACACACGTCCTGCCTTTAAGGTTAAGAACACTGGATCCTACATTTCCCAGAATGCACCAGCACCCCTTTCTGATTAAAGCCTGTCAGTCTGGTATAACAACAACATCCTTCAGTTAACGTGATGGTATGTTAGACGTGGGTAGTGTTCTGGACTGATGACATCATGAGGATAAAGGTGACATCATACCTCTTCACTAAACGTGTAGTGGACTGGCCCTTTAACTGACGGGGAGCACCTGTGACCGCGCTTTGATTGACCTGTTTGAAACCATGGCAACAAACAGTCGCCGTAGACACCCAACATTGTCGGGTTGCAGCAACCTTCTGCACGCTGTCGAAGTTGTGCAAATCAGGACGATGTGTCCGACCATAAACGTTGCAGTTTGTGTGCAGGTGGTCGCTGCAACCGCTGCTGGGTGCGTTGCTCTCCTGCACGCCTTGTGTGACGAAACAGAGGTCATTGATTTAAAGTTTTGTGACAAAACTATGGATTATTAAAATCACAGTTTCATTTTAAGAAATGCCTTGAGGCTCTGACGGCGTTCTGCAGCCGGTCAGGTGAAGCTGTGCACTACATTTCCCATGATCCTCAGCCAGGTCTGCGCCTGGCGAGCTCAGACACAGATGATTGATCACAGTGAGACGGTGTCATGGTTAACTGATATAACGTGTCACCGTGACGACCACACAACCACAATAATGACCTCCATGAGTGACATCAGTAACAGATTCAAAACACAGGAATGTTATAGTCGGAATATTCAAAGAGCAATTAAGACCTTTTGTGAAGCCCCGCCCTCAGCAGGAAGTAACCCTCTGTCAAGCCCCGCCCTCAGCAGGAAGTACTGTTAGGTTTGAGGTTCCTTCCCTCCCTGATCACGTGTAGTCACTAAATCAAGGTCACAGTTTCAACGTGGCGCTCTGAAAATACTTTTATCTAACCAGAAGTAGCCCCCGCAACGGTCGCTATGAGAGGGGCTCTCTGATTGGTCAGCTGACCAGACAAAGGCACTTTTATAGCTGCTTTGAGGATGATTTCAGGAGCAGTTCTCCTGAAGATGTGAAAACGGCGTTAAAGACTAAACGTTTCTTTACGTTGGCGTGTTTCTGATAACTTCCACCAGAGACGTGTTCTGCCTGTCTCCGTTACGTCCTCTGTGGATTTGTAAGGCCTCTGTTTCTGCAGGACGCCGGAGCACGCAGCATCAATTAACCACAGAGCACATCGAGCCGGACAGGAAGTCAGACGCCAAAACAACATTTAAATATCCGGTTCATTTTCAGTATAAAAGACTCGTTACGTCACTAAATCAACAGCACGCTCTCTGTCTCTCTCTCTGTCTCTCTCTCTGTCTCTCTCTCTGTCTCTCTCTCTCTCTCTGTCTCTCTCTCTCTCTCTGTCTCTCTGTCTCTCTCTGTCTCTCTCTCTGTCTCTCTCTCTATCTCTGCTGTCTCTCTCTCTCTCTCTCTCTCTCTCTCTCTCTCTGTCTCTCTCTCTATCTCTGTCTCTCTCTCTCTCTCTCTCTGTCTTCTCTCTCGCTCTCTGTCTCTTCTCTATCTCTCTCTCTCTCTGTCTCTCTCTCTATCTCTGTCTTCTCTCTCTCTTCTGTCTCTCTCTCTATCTCTGTCTCTCTCTTCTCTCTCTCTCTCTCTGTCTCTCTCTCTATCTCTCTCTCTCTCTCTCTCTCTCTCCTCTGTCTCTCTCTCATCTCTGTCTCTCTATCTCTCTCTCTCTCTGTCCTCTCTCTCTCTCTTCTGTCTCTCTCTCTGTCTCTCTCTCTCTCTCTCTCTCTCTCTCTCTGCTCTCTCTCTGTCTCTCTCTCTCTCTCTCTGTCTCTCTCTCTCTCTGTCTCTCTGTCTCTCTCTCTGTCTCTCTCTCTCTCTGTCTCTCTCTCTCTCTGTCTCTCTCTGTCTCTCTCTCTGTCTCTCTCTCTCTGTCTCTCTGTCTCTCTCTCTCTCTCTCTGTCTCTCTCTCTCTCTGTCTGCTCTCTCTGTCTCTCTCTCTTCTCTCTATCTCTGTCTCTCTCTCTGTCTCTCACTGTCTCTCTCTCTCTCTCTCTCTCTGTCTCTCTCTCTCTCTCTCTGTCTCTCTCTCTTGTCTCTCTCTCTGTCTCTCTCTCTATCTCTGTCTCTCTCTCTGTCTCTCTCTGTCTCTCTCTCTCTCTCTCTCTGTCTCTCTGTCTCTCTCTGTCTCTCTCTCTCTGTCTCCTCTCTCTCTCTGTTCTCTCTGTCTCTCTCTGTCTCTCTCTCTGTCTCT